TGTGTCTATTTTGATTTATGCTGAATACGACAACGTTATCGAGATTGACAGAGACAGAAACGTATTGACTGATTTCTAGCTGTGATGGACACGAATCAACTGAATCGCATTCTGTTGATTAATCCATACACTAAAAACGTGTTCTTCGGCGTTTATGCTAGAGATCAACTGCTTAAGGCAAAAGTGTTGGAGTATCCCACAGCGTTCGTATCAAACATCGATGACAGTAGCGGAGGCGGGACACATTGGGTGGCTCTTTATCCCTACTGGTAGGATCCCTACCGCGGAAAATATTTTGACTTGTACGGTAGACAACCCTACTACGTGGAATTTAAGAGATTTCTCGATAAAAACGTTTGTACATGGATCTGCAATCAAAGCTCTGTTCTCTACAGTGTGTGGTCAATACGTCCTGTATTACTTGCTGCGCAGATGTCAAGGGGAACCTATGAAGTCCGTAGCCGACTCTTTTACGCGTGATAGACATTTGAATGAATTTTATGTGAACAGATATATCGAAAACGTGACCAGACTCAACCTCCCTATTTATGACAAATATTTTTTCCCACGTAGTTTTACTAGATGACTTATGCTTATGACTTATATATATATACCCTCTTTATATAATTATCGATTTCATATTATTTCTTTTTTTCTTTTTATCACAGATGAGCGATTCTGATTAGAAAAAAAAAGTGTGTGTTGACTTTTCGATGTTACTCGTTTTTTCTTGTTTTTTATTATAATCGAATACTTATCCGCATTTGAAAATGTATACTTTGTATACTCAAAATATCATTTTTTACTCTTATATTACTCAGTTTTTAATCCATTCTGTTAATTTACTCAAACAAAAAACAAAAAAACAATGAAAAATGTATACTTTATATATATTCTATATTTGAATTACTCAGTTTTTAATCCATTCTTTTTGATTATTTACTCAAAAAACAAAAAAAACTAAACAAAAACAAATGTATACTTTATATATATTTTATATTTCAATTACTCAGTTTTTAATCCATTCTTTTTGATTATTTTGATTTATTAAAAAAATAATTAAAACATTCAATTAAAAAAATAATTAAAACAAATTGATGGTAATTTATGCAAATGTATTCACGATGACCTCGTTACGACCTCGTATTCAAATCTATTTTATGTATGTAAATGTATTCACAATATCCCATTGTGACGTCATCCTCATTCAAATGAACCCCTTTATGGCCATGGTCCTCATTTATGCACGAATTCCCATTGTGACGTCATTATTTATGCTCATCTATGCACGGTCTCCCATTGTGACGTCATCCATCCCCGTGTGACGTCATCGCATCCCAGTGTGAACAGCGCCCTCATGGTCGTCCTATAGTATGACCTTAACTAATTGCTAGTTTGATGATTACATTATGCGTTACAGTTTACAGAATGTCATCTAAGGATAACTTGTTTTTATTTTTTAATGAATCATGGTCTATATGTCAGTGTCATATATTTCAAAGTAATATCTGAGAAACCAAAATTTGTTGAATGTGTTTATATTGACCTTAAGGTGCTCAAAGAAAGCAGTATGAAGGTTTCTTGAGCAGCTATTAAAAACAAACTGCAATAATGCCTCAGTACAGTGGTCGAACCGTATACTTTAAACTCATTAAACATATGAGATGTGTTTTATTTTGAGTTATTGTTATACAGTTGTTCTACAAATGTCTGAAACTAACAGATAATATATGATTACTGTACTGTAAAATTATTTTAGTTTTACTATTTTGGTGTAAATTCACAAACTTGGCAAGGAAACCATGAGTTCAATATCTTTGATGTATAAAATGACATTTCCTTAAAATGTTTTTTGTCACTGAATTGCTGTATCGCGTAATTAAATCCACGCTCACACATAAACAAATCTGACATTTATCCCATGCCTGCTTTTGTATAGACTGGTCTATTATTGTGGTGGTGTGCTATCTGCAAATTAAAGGAATGCATTACATTAACACATATTTAACCTATAATGACGTAAATATTTTAAGAATACATTTATAGCAACTAAAAAAAGGTTCTATCATTAAATGATGTTTCATTCATTAAATTCATGGTCATTATGGCAATTTTTTATCGTATACAATACAATACTAATATTATTTGGTTCTAAAGTATACAAGTACAGTTAATCATAAATCTTGTCTCGATTTGCTAGATTCTATATAATTTTATCTTTCGTATTGTACAGAGCCTAGCTGGATATCAGTGCCATAAAGAACCAAGCTCCAGCTAAGAAGTTTTCCCGAATTTGAAGTGTCGCCCCTGTTATTGATTTCGAGTGTCCATGTACCCTCTGACTTCTCACCCCAACAGTGAGTTGTCATTGTCACCCACTCGTTTAGACCATTCGTACTGTTATCCAACTTTCTTGGCGATAGAAGAACAGATCTTGTTCCGGATGGAGAAATTAATTCAAATAATAAATCTCCTCTTTTGGTGAACTGGGTACTTAAAATGACTTGCACGTGTTCCACATAATTTACAATTCCACTTGCACTAGTACAAATATCGACTTCTTGGGTGACAATCAGTGTATTAGTACCAGAGATTTCACGGGCGGTTTTGCTCGAAAAATTACAAAGGTGCTGAGCAGGTGATTCTTTCCACATATTTGCCATTCTGACCATATGTTCAGCGTCCATCAATCCAAATCCATACAAATGACTCACTTCAAAACCAGCGGCATTGGTAGTCCATCCTTCCTCGTTGTCTTGAAGATTGTATCGTTTAGAAGTACGTACAATGATATGTTGTACATCACGCCATGTTAAATCAGGGTTCGCTTCCAGCGCCAGTGCTATTATGCCTGCTGCTAATGGAGCTGACGCAGAGGTTCCAGTGTGGTGTTTTGTGCATTTGTGATGTTCATCTGAGGAGCAGATTTCTCTGGTTCCATCAAATTTATCACCGCTACTGTAAGTAGTTGTAAGTACAGCTGAACACTTCTCTACATAGCCAGGTTTGGTTCCTTGTTCATTAGTACTGCTTATGCTAATAGTGTATATGCTACTTTGGTAACCATCATAGTTGCAGTTATCTTCATTGACACCGCCATTACCTGATGCAAAGACAAAGATGGACCCTTTGCCACTTCTTCCACTGGTCACTCCATCAATAAAAGCCCTTTTACCGAGCCTTCTAGGGCCATCCACTGTTTTTCCATCGTCGTGGGGTCCCCAACTTGAACTGTAAATGTCAACGTGTTGAGGATTGTGGCTAACCGAAGCTGCTTCAAGGGAATCTGTAACTCTGCCATCCAGCGCACGGATACCTCCGATATGGGCATTATATGCTACCCCCACACCACATATACTGTTGTTAGGCCTCATGGCAACTACACCGGCACACCTGGTTCCGTGGTTGTTGAAATTGTTTGGAGTGGCTCTTGGTTGGGGATCTGGGTCGCGGTCATTGAGATCCGTGCTTGCGTATTGATCGTAATTATCCACCAGATCTGGGTGATCCTTCTCAAGGCCATCATCCACGATTGTGACAACCGTCCCCTTTCCAGTGTAACCAACATCCCATGCTCCTTTGACCTTCATCGTCAGTCCATCTCTGTTCAGATACCATTCATCTTCCCATAAAGGATCTGTAAAAACGCCTATATCATCCCTCTTGTTTCTGTTCAATACAATCTGCTGTTCTAGCCAGTCTACGTTGATTTCGTTCTTCAAAGGTAGGTGCTTTCCAAAATCAAGTCTCTTTTCCATCTGCGGAACATCTTTTGCTTCAAATAAATAATAGTCATTCAAAGATCCGATCTGCCCGATGTTAGTATAACCATGTTTTTTAGCCAGTCTATCTGCTACGTTGCTTCCACCAATGATGTGTACAGCAAACTCATTCGTGTATTCATCGCTGTAGGAATATACAATGAACACAGAGACGATGAATACTGCTATTAACCATTTCATTTCTTCCGTCATACACATTGACTTCCCTGGTGTGAATGCGTTATTTATCTACCACAGGTGTCAACAAGACTCCCAATAATCTTACACGCGCAGATCCACTTTATATGTGGTTTTGACGAGAGAATATATATATATTTGTGTCTGAAACGACTGGGCTATAATCCATTTATATACACAAAAGCTCTTATAGAAATCTCACCAGAAATAGCATCATATATTCAATCAAGTATTTAAGAATGAAAGCGTATTGAGGTAAATTTAAAAGATGATAGATTCACGTCATTCAAAATTGAAATCTATTTTTGGATACTCGTTTTGTCTGACTCATTATTTGTATCTGAGTTGTATTACATACATGTGGTCGTCTTCAGAGGTTTCCATTAGGCTTTTTGAGTTCAACTGCGATGTCATATTAAATAGCAGATGACCTATTATCACCTGGTGAGTAACCACGCCAACTCATGTTTTTGTAGTTATGCCCCGATTGGGGAGTGAATTAGGTAATTTTGTGGTAGAATTCTAATTTCCATTTATGTCATAGCATATTATTAAAAGAAAGATATTGTGCAAACATAAATGATTAAAAAGAGATGCCGTATGGTCATGTCGAAATCAGAGTAACAGTAACCGATGAAGTGGTACAATGTCATTATAATCCTCTAGGTTCCAAACCTTGCAACACATCCGTGATGACCTTTGACACCTTCGTGAAAAGCTAATTTGAATATTGCCTAACCAATCCATAGCAATGGCTTTAAAGGGAGGTAATCGTCGCGTCACGCATGCGCGAGATATATGGGTTTCATATAAACAAAGATGACGACTTTGACTGTTGCGCAGATCAACGAGTACAAACTGAGACATTACCAAATTAGGTAATTTTTAGGTGATTGGAAGGTATCGAAGCAGTCACCATTGGTAATTAGTGCAAGTCGCGCCCAGGTTAAACCTCATACTTGTAATTTCCATTAGAAGAACGCATTGGATTGTGGGAAAATCAATGTTTATCAACACTGCCGCCTTTTACATCTAAAGATCAAATGCAGAATTGAGAGGCTTTTAGAATGCAAAGAAACTTGTCATGAGGAGTAACTAACATGTATTTATTTAACATGCCTAAAACATTTAATTAGTTCAACATCCGTTTGATTTCTGTCAACATACCTGGGAGCAGTTTTTTCAGCTAATTTGAATTCGAATAATAAAAACAAATAATTTACAAGCGATAACAACTTAAACTTGGTCACCACTTTGATAAATTATGTCATACATATTAAACATCTTCTAATTTCAAAGAAACGTGCTGTTTAGATTTTTGGTAAACCATCAAAGAAAAACTGAAACATAACTTATTTCCTGATTATAGGAATGTCTACTAGCGACATTACTATAGATTATCATGTTAAAATTATCGCTATAACCAGATATACACAACACTGCATTAATAACGATACACGGCAAGTTGGTCGCTTTTTATTTAACAATCAATTCGTATGAGGAAGTACTAAACAGCATTCCCGAAATTTTTGATATTAGAAAAATAATGTATAGTGGAATAATCAGATCTCGGACGCAAAGAGGAAAATGGCCGCTGAAACCCCGTTGAGAGAGAGAAAACCACGAAACTTGTTTTTTCCCAACTAGTTATCGCGTGAACTAACACTGACTTCCACATTCCCATAGGGTCACAATCAAATGTATGCATTATTTGTCTTTAGCCTCTCTCCAATCACCCCTCGACCAATATGTATAAAGACAATTGCAGTATATATCATCAGGAAAATGCTTTTAAAATGTTCGATCTTCCAATGTTAGTTCTCAGTATGAATAATATTTGATTGTTTTTTCAACTTTGCCAAACTATTCTTGTTATATCACAGTAAATTCACCCCCCCCCCCCAATCAAAAGATGGCAGCAGACAGTAGATGAAAACGGATCCGCGCTATCCCAATTCGTCCAAGCCCCGCAAATAATATCATGAAGTAACCTATAAGCTATTATCCAGAAACATTGCACAACTATCGTAAAAAAAACTATATTGTTATGTGTTCGAAACGTTATGGCCAAAAACGAGCGAAAGAATGGCCATTTACTTTCCACTTTTTACGACATCGCCCGAACTGTACAATTATGCTTGTGTCACTATACTATGCAATAACGGGATTGTCGGGCCAAATACGCCATTTCTCCACATCTTCGTCGTCACTGCTAGAATAGTCACTGGAATATTGTTCATCTTTCACAGCATAATGGTTTTTTACCAGAAAATCCCCAACTTTCTGCATGATTTCGACATTATCTTTTGTTTGTTTTAAACGGCTCATCAGCACCAGTGTGTCGAACTCAGAACCTTTAAGTTTTCGAGATTTCATGGTTCGTCTGATTCTGTTAAACTTTCTTCCAATTTTGCTTTCTTGCTCTCCTGACAAAGAGATCAGTGAAGGTAGACGGTAAGCGTCCCTGCCACCAATCTGTAAATGTGCTGGTACTGGTTCCTTTTTATTCCAGGTGGCCTCTCCTAACTCAGTATTCTCCGCCGGACTTGGAACAAACATGTTTCCACTGCTTGCCTTAGAAGACTTTTCTTTGTTCACTCTCTTACGCGGCTTTAGTGAATTCTTCCTTCTCGAGTATCGTCTCTGTGCCAACAACAACGTTGCCTCATCTGTCGGCATTGATAACTGGTAGGACGCCGCTAACGTCGGTTGTTTACGGGACAATTGACGAATTGTCTCTTCCACGTATTTCTGAGTATTGACTTTTTTAGGAATTATCTTTTTCTTAATAGCGTTTCCCGAACGAATTGCATTGTGGTTCTTATCGTGCTGTGGCCTTCCTTCATAATTTGGGGAGATGGCTTCCAAGTTAACAGTATTGTTATTAGTGTCGATTTGACCTTCGGCTTCTTCCGCGGAAGTTAAAAAGAACCCCTTTCCGTGCTCGTTTGAAACATCATTTCCGGTAACACTGTCCTCGTTGAACGACACGGTGCTGTCTCTCTTACGAAACGTTCCTGATTCGTTCATTGGTATGGCATCGAGCGATATAGTCCCGTTGCTGTAATCCAGTCGTTGTCTACTTCGTGACGAGTAGCAACTAAGACGGGATCTAGACCTATCTCCAATGATGGTGTGATCGATAGGTGGGCTCACTTTCGCGTGTTTTTGATCTCTCAGTTCGATTTTAAGTTTGGATGTCTCCCGCATCAAAGCCATCATCGATATTCGGTGTTGTTTTTCGAGAGTCTGCATGTTCCGAGTGTGGTATCGTTCAATGCATTGGTTCACAGCCCTTGTCTTATCGAACTGATGGGATCTCTTGGCAATCATACGCTGAGTTAACATGTTGTAACGTAGTGTCTGAAAATAAAAAAAAAGTATTTAGTGTTGCTGGTGTCATGAATTTGTTTTCGCGTATCTGTTGACCGACTTAATTAGCTGATTATTAGCTGAATTGCTGTGTTATGTCTGTCATCGTTCAGGTCTATTTGAAGTTTTGGACGGAACTTGGCTCAGTGATTTGGAACTAATTACCAGATAACCGCCGCTTTTTAGACTACTCATTCTGACAGTTTACATCCATAGTTATTAATGTAGTGAACGATTAATCAAAAGATATGACGTATTCAGTACTTAGTGTGATTGGCTTTATGATTGAAGGTTACGCCCTAGAGTCTTTTACTGTTTTGTAATTGGTTAGATTTTTGAAAATGAATAAAGAGAGTTTGAGTTGGTCTTGGCGAATACTCCACGATAGAGGCAGTAGAGAGAGAGGGTGCAGTCCTGGGCAGTCGAGTCCAGTCTAAGAGAGTCTTGGGGCGAGCCTTGACGCAGCCCAGTCTTGGGCGAGTCTTGGTTCAGCCTTGTGAGAGTCTTGGGGACTTTTCCCCAGGGCGCTGTGTCTTATAGAGTGCTCCAAAAGATCGACTAAGACGAGAGTTGAAACGTATTTCGTTGTGTGTGCCTTATTTGACTGTAAAGTATAAGTGACTTTCCCGATCCCGTACCTCAAGGGGACGCTATAGAGAGACGAGACGAGTTTTACCCCTGACACGTGTGGAGAACCCCATAGAGAGAGATTTACCCCTGATACTGGAACGAATAGAAGGACGCACTTATTTATTTTGGCAACATTTCTCAAAAACTAGTTTTGTCCTTTTGTGAACTTTTTGATCGTGAACATATCTAAATATACCAGAACTGTTCAAGACGGCATTGGGTGAACTCATGACAGATAATTGTTGATTTCATGACGTATTACACAGTTGCTTCATGGAAACTTTGCATAGTGTTTGTCATTTTTATTGCCTTAAAAAAAATAGTGAAGAAACTGTTGTATGTTTCATCACATATATATTATGATTGATTTACGTGCATAAAAGTAGTTAAACATTCTTTCAGCAATTTTCATTTCGTATATAATTTATTCATTGCGAAGTTTGTTGAATATGTTTAAAGAGTAATAACACTAGTAATGCACATTTGGAATAGAGCATGGCCTGATGCACAGGGTCGTTAATTCGCGCTGACTGGCAAATAGTATGCACACGTCTCAACAACGTTGCTCGCAAAGTGCTAACCATGTGGGTGAAAAACATTCTCTTTCAAGTAACAGAACCAAATTCAGAAATTTTGCGAACTATTCAGCAAAGAAAGTTTCAATAAAGCTTCTTTTAAAGATGATTGTTTATTATATTCAATAAATCATATTCGTACCACTGTATTGCACAATTGTACAACACAAGATTACTGACATGAACACATAAATCGATGACAATATTTATTTACCAGAATTAACTGACTTTTTGGTAGCCTCGGCATTGGATTTTCTAAATTTTGAGTTGATGTTTTGAAATCTCTATTTAGCTTGTAAAGTTGTTGTCGCTAACAACGGTGATAAAAAGGTCATGCCAGGGGTGATTACCGCTAGCTCACCCTACCGCCGTCATCCACATTTAATCTCCGGTCATTAGCGCCAATCTCTAGTATATTGAAATTCCTTAAAATCTAAG